TACCGGTGAAGGGGAGACTAGGCTGGGTTTTGCTCTGAAGACTCCATGCCTATGGCGGAAGGAGCTCACCAACCTTCCGAACTGGACGCCTCCGCCTCCTCCTCCTCCTCCGGCGAGTCAGGGCACTCCGCCTCCTCCACCGCCTCCTCCTCCGGCGAGTGACGATCAAGGCACGCGTGGCGGCACTCCGCCTCCTTCTCCGGCGCGTGGCGGCACTCCGCCTCCTTCTCCGCCTGCGCCGACGCTCCCGAGCAGCCAGCAGCCTCCTCCTTCTCCGCCTCGCCAGCAAGGGCGGAAGAGACCCGCCGCCGCCCCGGCTGCTTCGGTGCATCGTAGTCCTTCTCCTCCGCCTCGTAAGTAAGCACGAAAGAAGACAGACGCCGCAGCCGCTCTGTCTGCTCCGGCGTCTAGCAGCACAACCAGAGGCGGGAGGCAATACAAATACGGTCCACCTCTCAAGCCTCTAGAGAAGTTACCGTACAAGAGGACCGAGGAGGAAAACGATACGATCGTGCGGATCCATGTGAAGGAGTTCTTTGAAGGGGTGAAAGCAAAGAGACATCCACCTCTGGAGGAGAAGGTAGATCCGGTGAAAGCAAAGCGCACTCTCGATGCCCTGAGGAAACCGGCAAAGTCTCCGCCGAGAACCAACTTTGAGCGCATTACTGAACAGACATATCTCCAAGCGGAGCGGTCGGGAAGTATTGTCAGACATCAAAGGTCAAGAGAACGAGCAGCTGCAAAAAAAATGACCAGCTCGGCGAACAAGCAAACCAATCGTGCCCCCCGCTCAATGTGTCTAGCGGCAACATCGTCGCTAATGCTCCGGGGATGGTGGCCGGTTATGGCAATCTACAAGATTACCTGCCTGACGATGCACTTCTTGATTTCATGGAGGTGGACGAACACAAATACGAGTACGGGAAGCCTCTCGTCAAAGATGAAAAATCTCTAACAACGATGATGCGAAGATTCCATACTTGGTACATGAAAACCTGTAGAGAGTCTGGGGGACGAATAGTTTGTATCTGCACATTAAAGAGGAGCACGACCTCGTTGGAACTGATCTGTTGTGTGTTCCATTTGAGGAGTTCTTCGCGTTCTTCAATCAAAAGGCCCTCGATAAATTAACGGTCTTTTGCAACTGCCTGTAAGTACTATTTCTGTCATTAAGTCTCTATATATAGCTCGGCTCTTTCATTGCATGTATTTATAATTAATTATCCTCAATATATTATGCAGATTGAAGATCGTCGAGTGCATAAAACAAGAAATTTATGATATTGGGTTCATTAACACAAATATCATAGATGAATTTCTGGTTAAAAAGCACGTCGAAGAGGTCGAGGACAACTTGCTACGATCGTTGATCAAAAATCAAAACAAAGATACCATACTCTTTCCTTACAACAGCAAGTGAGTGTTACTGTCGTGTGCATATTCGGTTTCCCTTATTACTCGAGCGAGGTTATAGTAATGTAATTGATGAGTTATGCATGCGTGCGCAGGTACCACTATGTTCTTCTGGAGATTAAGCTTGAGCGGGGACTAGTAACCGTCTTAGACTCGAGACGGAAAGATCCCGAAACCTATGCGGATATGATTGAATTGCTCAACAAGTAAGTTCAATCGATCATTATCGCACCATATCGGCAACTTTTTGTTCATTTCCTGATATCTCAAGTAATAATAATTATTTTCTTTGTCTTGCAGGGTTTGGAAACAGTTCACCGCAGAAGCTCCAGGACTGCGGAAGGAGCTGCAATATACATACCCGAAAGTAAGTACTACCGGCTAGCTAGCTGCGCGCATCTCCCATTGATTCTATAGCTATACTTTCATCAATGCCATTTATAATGCTTCATTATCAGTTTGATTGACCTCTATTTCTCGTAAAGTGCTTGTGGCAGGAACAAGGGAATGATTTCTGTGGATACTACGTGTGCGAGTTCATCCACAACGCGACTTTGAAAAACAAGCGGGGCTACTCTCAAAGGCAATATGAAGTGCGTAAGCAATAATATTCACAATTTCATTTTATTACACCATCATTTCTGTTGAGTTTCATTCATATATATGTATTAATTAACCCCCTTCTTCAAATTAGATGTGGCAGATGCGGAATGAACTCCTAGAACCAGATCGCATGAAAGCAATTCAAGAGGAATTGGCGGGATTCTTTTTTGACCACGTCATCAATAAAGACGGAGAATACCATGTGAAAGTTGATTTCAATTTCTAGGGGATTGTAATTAAGAGATCTTACATATTGTACATGTATGTAGCCAATAGCGTCAGATACATGATACAAAAACTTGTTGTTCGACCAATCTCTCGGAGAAGGAGAGGTCGATCAATCACTTCTCTCGGTATGCATGACGAACTTCTGTACTCAATGGTTCTCTCGATCACTTATGTATATAGTACGTAGCATCGACCAAGCACGGACATAAGAGAGGACACTTCTCTCTATTAATTAGCTAGCTAACACAATATATGAAACACCTAAATTAACCCCCCCCCCCTTTAAAAAAAACAAAAACCCCAGCCACTGAAATGCTGACGTGTGGATGCCTTTTGGTCCCGGTTGGTGCCACCAACCGGGACCAAAGGCCCCCCTGCCTAGGCTTGGCGCACCGGCCACGTGGAGGACCATCTGTCACGGTTCTGTTTGAACCGGGACTAAAGGGGGAGGTATTAGTAACGACCCATTAGTCCCGGTTCATGAACCGGGACTAAAGGCCCTTACGAACCGGGACAAATGCCCTGTTTTCTACCAGTGGTATTAGATACCCGTATTAGGAAACAAACATATCTGTATTTGTTTTGACTGTATATGTGTATTAGATACCCATATCAATTCAAAACAAATCGAAATTAATACGATTTATTTTAGGACAAGTCTTGCATGTCGAATATTTAGAAAACAAAAATAAAATGCAAGCATGGAAAGTATTGCAGGAAGAATAGTTAGGAAACAAAATTAGATATATATACCACGGTTTCCAAAACAATCAAGGTGCCCAGGCACCTAGGTGCCCCATCTAGTTTACCCGGGGTGCAAAATAGGTTCTTCTTCACCCGAGGTAATGTTACGATAATTTCATAAGTAAATTACATTTGAAATAAAAATACTTACATTCTGATTGATTCACTGCGTAAAAATTGGCATAAGAAAAAAAAGGTCATAAGACCAGAAAAATGCATTTTATGTACATTTTACACTATGTTTTTACATTTATAATTTTATGCAATATATATTTTTACGCTTACATTCTTTTTTTATATCTGAAATAAGATAAAATTTACGAAACATAAAATTACGGTGCATTGATGTTAAAATAAAGAGGGGGGGCGAAGAATAACTATTCCTCATCCAAGATGGCAAGTATATATATATATATATATATGACTTGCTATATTGGGACCTATATATATAATGTCTTATTCTGCGCTCCGACCACCACACACACCAACGAATTAAACCAATCCATAACACGTGCCTACACCCACCGTAAAAGCAACCACTTCATTCATAGTAAAAGTGAAGCAATATGTAGTAAATCAATTACCATGTACTAAATCTAAACAACCCAATCATAAACAATTACTATGTAGTAAAGTTTCAGGAATATTTATTTCTGGTCGATGTTATTTCCATAAACTTCTAAACCTCCTCCGGAGGCTAAAAGAACTTCACTGCTAGCAAAACTACACTGCAATGTTAGCAGAAAAAAAACTCCATGCCCTTTTTGGTACTGTTTGTGATGCAATATTCAAACCGTTCGTCGGAATGAGGCGTGTAATATTCCATTGAAAAGCTATGGATTAGGAGCAACTCTATCACATTGAACACTTTTCGATATTCTTCACGATTTAAGAGCAATTTCAAAAATAATGGGCATCCGACAAGTGGCAGCGAGCGTATTTTTGTGTTTTTTTTAAATCGCTCGTCAGAATGATGCAAATCATACGCAGTTGGAAAGAACGCTTGCACAAGTGGCAGGATCCACTGGAAAAGGCTGCTTGAGAAGGGACGGGAGATTGGGCCCATGGTGGGAGGCGGTCTCGGATCCGCGCCGACAACAGCATTGGGCGCCTAAGGACGACGCACCAGGATCCACGCTGGCAGCCATGTTGGCGCCTTGGGGAGGCGCCAATTGGGTCCATGTTGGTAGTCGCGCGAGGTGCCTGGGGCCGGCACACCTAGATCCACATCGGAAACCGCGGGGGATGCCTGAGACGGTGTGGACGGATCCACACCAGTAGCCATGGGAGGCGCCTGGGATGGTGCTGCCAGATCCGTGCCGGCAGGCTGGCAGGGACTGTTAGTGGTGGGGCAGCGGTGGAAGGTTGGGGTGGGTGGGGGGAGCACTCGGATCTGGTGGCTTGGGTGACAGGGGCGCTAGATGGCTAGGAGCGTGGATGGACTGCCGGAGACGAAGAAGATGGCGGGGATTTGGGGTGCGATTGCAGTTGTGGTTGTGAGGGTCTATGGGGAAGTGGGGCTTGGGGGCGACCGTGCGGGGGGCGGGGGGAGGGAGTGAGATAGTTGAAGGAGTGGGCCAGGCGGGGTATTTTTTTTCTTTCCATGGTGCGCCTCGTGGGTCGGTTTGGTGTGTGTGTACAGAATAAGGTTTTTGTTGTTAGAATAAGGTCTTAAGGGTGTTATTAGAATAGACCCACCCTATATATATGTCTCGTTCCCTATAATGACTACAGTCAGGGATATTCTATGCCTTGTTCCATAGTGGTGTGAGACTTCCAATCTTGTTGATTAATTTCTCATTATTTGACGTCATAATAATGATTTATTTTGGTATGTCATGGCGATAAAATGATTTTAGGGTCGCAATGGAAAAACATATACTTAAACAACAATTATCAATAGCTTATTATTAATTGTTTTGTATGAACTGAATCAGGTTTCACACAAACAATATAAGCATTCACCTTCATGCAATATTTTCTAGTACATATATAAACTCATTTCATGGTTCTTAGTTTTTTCCGCAGCAGCATGTGCCACTACTGCCTTCCTGGCAACTGCTCTTGTCCTTGGCATAACCTCGGTTAACACAGTTAGCCTTGCACGCAATGTTGCCACTAGCTCGGACTGGCGGCGAACAATACTCCACAGGTGTACACAGCAGGTCAGTATCTGTGCACAAAGCATAATAGAAATACATATAACCCACCAGGAAAATATATGTTTGTGTATCCAAATACGAGTGAAAGGATCAGGAAAGGAAGAAGAAAGCCATACCTATGTAACGACCTGCTGCATAACCTGAGAAGACAGTGGTGGCCATGACTACAAGAGCTATGAAGCATAGGGCCCGTGTGTTGTTCTGCATACGTGCCATGGGAGATAGTTAGCTATTCCTTTTCTTCTAATGTTGTTTGTTGATTTTACCGAATTCATGTTCTTTGCATGGGTGCTTGTGTTTATATTGAGGGAAAGATAGTAGTCTTGGAGATCTGCTTGATATAATCTCCAATCAAATCAAATCAAATCAAATCAATGCCATGTGTTAACTCATTGAAATCAAATCATAAAAAAAATCTCAACGAAATCCAAAATTTACTTGCCTTCCACTACTCATACCCAAATCAAATCAAATCTTACCAAAACATCGGCTATAGTCAAAATTAGCTGCCAATTTGGCACGTTCACAACTTTTTTTTTCTTTTTTGGTTTTCCTTTTTTTATACTTCATTTTTGTAAGTCCAACATATTATTATGTTCTCGGTACTTTCACATGGTCTTATAAAAAATGAAGTATAAAAAAGTGTTGATTTTGTTTTATATAAGACCAATAGAGTGTTGATTTGAATTGTCATGCTGGTCTTATAGTATGTCAGAAAGTGTAAAATGGGCAGCCAATTTTAAATATAAAGCCAGTAAAGTGAAGATTTCAGATTTTTTTATAGTAAAAAAGTGTTGATTTTGTTTTATAAGGCCAACATATTATTTTTCTTCTATTTTTTATAAGACCAACATACTATTAGAATCAACACTTTCTGAAAACAAAATCCAAACAAATCGGCACTTCCCAAAACAATGTCATGCATTAACTCAATCAAATCAAATCTTAAGAAAATCTCAATGAAATACAAACTTATACTACTCATACCCAAATCAAATCTTGCCAGAACATCAACTATAGTCAAAATTAGCCGGACCATTTGGGACGTGTGCGTGTATTTTTTTTCATTTTTCTACTATGTTTTATTTTTTTGTTTCCTTTATTATGTTTCTTTGTTTATAACCAACATATTATTTTGTGCTCGGCATACTATTAGAATCGACACTTTCCTAAAACAAAACAAAACGAATCAGCACTTTCTCAAAACAACATCAAGCACTAACTCAATCAAACCAGATCTTAGCAAAATCTCAACTAAAACCAAACTTTCCTTGCCTTCCATTACTCATACCCAAATCAAATCAAATCTTATAAAAAATCAACTATAATCAATGTTGCCGACCCATTTGACGCGTGCACGTGTTTTTTCAAAGTTTTCCTTTTTGGTTTCCTTCTTTATTCATTTTTTCTGTGACCAACCTATTGTTTTGTGCTTGACATGTTATCAAACTCAACACAGACCTATATGCTATGATGAGTTGGTAGCGTCGCCTCTATTCCGGTTAAACCTCCACCACCATTTTTTTTAATCCCACTAATTTATTTAAACCAGCTTTTATCCCACTTATGTACTTAATCCGGTTTTACCTTCCAATTCTACACAAATAATGTAGATCAATCTTCGATATATTTAGTAATGTCGTATCAAAAGAAATCAATCTTACTAATCATTCTTTAAAGACCAGATCTACGGAAAGGAATCAATGTTGGTAAAATAACGCTACACTGATGGAAAGGAATCAATCACATGTCTATAATCTCTCTCTTTATTATTAAGGGCCATCTATTATTAAATGGCAATGCATACTAGTCCTCGTTGGTTCCCACAACTCCCATCGAATGAAGGGATACCCAACCGAATTTTTTTATTTTTCCCCTCCCCACTACTAGGAAAAACACTACCAGTAGCATGGTTTTTTTGCATACCAATAGTGTGGGTTCCCGCGCTACTGCTACGGCGCTACAGCTAATTTTTAGCAGTAGCGCGTTTTTTACCCCGCGCTATGGCTAAAATGTTAGTAGTAGCGCGTGTGCACCCGCGCTACTACTAACCTAAACCCACGCTACTACTAACCTAACTAATAGTAGCCCTCACTTTTGACCCACGCTACTACTAACAATTTAGGAATTAAAATAAAAATAAAAATTAGATGTAGTATTCATGAATGGTAATACGTCCAGTGCAAACCAAACCAACATCACGGAACCATCTCAAGATCCATTTAACATCAGACACAACATCACAGAACCATCTCAAGATCCATTTAACATCAGACACACACAACCATCATCGTAAGATGGGTACCTTCCCTAGTGGTCTACCACCAACCTAAACAAACCACTTCTCTAGATGTATCTACAAGGCTCGGAGTTCAGATGCCGGTGGACACGAATCCTTCCTCCCTCGGACGATGGCGTCGAGGTCCTCCACCTCAGCGACCTCCGGCGTCGAAATCACCTAGACGATCATCTGTGTGACGTGGCCACCGGGCTTCACGGCGAAGTAAGCCTCCGAGTGGTTGAATGGCACAACGCCACGGGGCCGCGCTAGTCAGCATCAATCACCTCTGCGCCCACGTCGGGAAAGTGAAAACTTGTTAGTACGCAAAGCATCAAGTCAATGAAATAGTACTATTAACAAATTCGAACTAAAGCCACGCCACTTATTTTGGGACGTAGGAAGTATGTCCTAGCACTTCTTTTTTAACCGGAAAAGATCTACTGATACTCTGAAGTTCCTCAGAAGAAACTAAATAACGTACCTCAGCTTCTTCCTGGGTCATACCCTCTTTCCATTGATGATCCATCAACCCATACATGTAACTAGAACCAGATCCTGAAAAAGGACAGCAATAACATAGAAGTGTGAGAATCTGCACCTGGCATAGCATACACTAAAGCTGGATTAACACAACTATATGCTCGGTGTTTCTCAGCACTAAGTGCAGCCAAATTGCATTAAACCAGGATAAGAAGTGTGATTATAACCCAGTGTGTTTTACGAACCACAAGCAAGTAAGTGAGTACAAGCCTGCCAGATTGCACCAGGTTTGTTGCAAACAAGTGCTAGAAGCTACTCAAGGATGTAAATTCAAGTATAGGCAAGGAATGCTCCACCTCTACTGGGGAAAACTTACCTCCAATTGCGAATGGCTGCCTCAAGATTGTTCCACCAAGAGGGACCGAGTAAATTTGCCCCCCCCCCCCCTCATATTTATCCCATCCACCGACTATCATCCAGCTTGCAACATGCTCTAGGCGTTGATAACAAATATGAGAAATGACATGATGTGTATAAAGAAGGCAAACAAACATTAAGCGCCATCAACATTCTTGTGATGACAAGACATACCTTGTTCTGATAGGCCAGCAACCTAACTAAGTTGGATGCAACTTTCACGGTAGCTGGTTGCCCAAGTTGAATTTTGTACAAGGAGGACAAATCTAACATCAGCTAACTTGCAAATCAAACATTCAACTGACTACAATCATATTGACAACTGAAATTTAAGTTCTATTTAATTTATTCAGGGCCATCCTACTCTGATTTAGGAGCAAAAAACTGTATTTTGCACCTTTTTCGGGCCAGGATCGAGAAGTGGAAGTCATAAAAAAAGAGTACTTACATGTGTTCATGAAGAAAATAGCGCACATAATCTGAAATAATTTGTCTATCAGCAGCCTGCAAGATAACATGCTACATGTGAGACATATGAACAGAGAATGGGATATCTGACTACCAAAAATTAACACAGACGATGAAAACTAATGGTGATGTGATAACTCAAGAGTTCCACTCTTCCACAAGACAAGCAATGTTGGAAGCAACGAACAAATTGCGGCATGAGAAAGCAAAACACAAACTCTTGTCTTGCTAGCTTTTGTTATTTTGTTTATTATCAACACCAGCAACCAAACATACCCTACTCATTGATTTAGGGAATAATCATTAAGAAGTAAAAGTAAGATTAAGTTATGAAATAGACTAACTGAATGATTGAAAGGATCGAGAAGCGGTGTCTAGAGGGGGGTGATTAGAGACTAAGTGAAAAAGTTGCGGTTTTTAATTTCTTTAAGTTGAAGTGGAGTTTTGGCACAAGTTTAACAATCACAATACATATCAAGCAAGCATGCAAAGAGTATATGAGCAGCGGAAAGTAAAGCATGCAACTTGCAAGAATGTAAAGGGATGGGATTTGGAGTGTGCAAACGCAATTGGAGACACGGGTGTTTTTGTCGTGGTTCCGATAGGTGGTGCTATCGTACATCCACGTTGATGGAGACTTCCACCCACGAAGGGTAATGGCTGTGCGAGTCCACGGAGGGCTCCACCCACGAAGGGTCCACGAAGAAGCAACCTTGTCTATCCCACCATGGCCGTCGCCCACGAAGGACTTGCCTAACTAGGGTAGATCTCATGAAGTAGGCGATCTCCTTGCCCTTACAAACTCCTTGGTTCAACTCCACAATCATGTCGGAGGCTCCCAAGTGACACCTAGCCAATCTAGGAGACACCACTCTCCAAGAAGTAATAAATGGTGTGTTGATGATGAACTCCTTGCTCTTGTGCTTCAAATGATAGTCTCCCCAACACTCAACTCTCTCACACAGGATTTGGATTTGGTGGAAAGAAGATTAGAGTGGAAAGCAACTTGGGGAAGGCTAGAGATCAAGATTCATATGGTAGGATTGGAATATCTTGGTCTCAACACATGAGTAGGTGGTTCTCTCTCAGAAAATGAATGCTGGAAGTGTAGGCACGTTCTGATGGCTCTCTACATGAATGAAGAGTGGGTGGAGGGGTATATATAGCCTCCACACAAAATCTAACCGTTACACACAACTTACCAATCTCGGTGCGACTGAATCGTGAAACTCGTTCGGACCGATTTAGCAAATAATGTGACTGTTAGGATTTTCGGTGGGACCAACATGCAACTCGGTAGGACCGATATGGTTAGGGTTAGGGCATAACGTAAACTCGGTGAGACCGATTACTCAAACTCGGTGAGACCGATTTTGATAATAATCTAACCCGAGAGTTGGTCAGGCAAACTCGGTGGGACCGATTCGCTCATCTCGGTTGGACCGAAATGTTACGAAAAGGAACAGAGAGTTTGCATTGTAATCTCGGTAGGACCAATTACACAAACTCAGTGGGACCGATTTTGGTAATGGACATACACAGAGAGATTACAATCTCATCTCGGTGAGAC